GGATTGCTGACAGCTTTTAGGTTTTAAAGTAGCTTGGAACAGCTTTGGTCTACCGCTTTACTACTTTTTCAGTCTTACAAATGCAGTTTCTATGGTCTACTTGAAACAGCACTGCAGGCTGCCTTTACCTGCTGCCAGGGTGTTCTGCAAGGAACCTCTCTCTGTCCTTTGTCTCCATTGGATCTGCAAGAGCACTACTGGAAGGAGATGACAGCATTTAGTATCTCATATAAATAAATCCCTTTTCCTCTGCATCAAGAACTGAGCTTGACTGCTTGCTTCTGTCATCTTCTCGTCTTGGGCTACACTTCTCACCCTGACAGTGGAAGAGATTTCATTACTAATAGTAGCAGAAATAAATTGTTTTTCTCCTGGAAAGAGATAGTGCTAATACTGTCTAAAACTCTGAAGAGAGAACAAAGCATTTCTTGATACTTTCTCGGATGTACTGCTGAGTAAGCAGGAAAAAAAAGAGACATCATCTTTCCAGACGGTTTTTATGAAGCACCTGAAGTCAAAATTAAGCTAGAGCAAAACACAATATTCTTTTTCAGATTGTTACATTTGCACTCAGATGCATCCATATTTTACTGTTCAGTTTTCAATTATGTGCACAGAGAGTCAGTAAGTTGTAGGAAATTACTGAATCTTGTGAAAGAAACTTGGCAAGAAGTTTTCAGTGAGTGATTATGACAAGTTCTACAGGTCAGAGTAACAAGCACATGTAATGGGGCTTTTAGAAGAAAAAATTGAAGACAGGAAGACATTTCAAATACCATTATCAATGAAGATAACAACAATACGAGTCATTTTTAACCTGGAGGAGTTCTACTAAGGACTGAACGTGACATCACATAACTGAACAGAAAAAGCCATAGCTAAATCAACTCTGAAGAATCCTTGTTCAGTAGGACTTCATAGCCCTACAGTGATGAGCTGCTGGAAACGGAGCAAACAAATCCTGATATTCAGAGTCAATGAAAAGCATACATCAAGGAATGCTGAGTAAAACACATGCAAATCATTAATTTGTTCTGTTGTTGTTGCTGGTGGGTTTTATTTAGCTTTGTCTCTCTCTTCCCATAAAATTTCCACTTTTATGGATGAGATATAGGTAAGTGGTAAAGAGCAGCACTAGGAAATAAAACATAACTTACATTTTTATTTATACCTCTTTCTTAATCTACGCTGTGCCCAGAAACATAAGCTTACAAATCCAACAATAAAAAGAAGAAATTAAATATTCTCAGCTCTCTTTGAACAGTTTGTGGAGCCCTTCTAGTACACTGTTTTAATTTCTTGTCCCAGCAGAGAGGGCAATTAGACCTTATTGTAAGGACAGAATGGTTGAAGAGATTGTCCTTTTTATTGGCTTGCGCTGGTTGTTAAATGTGACCATGAGAATTGTAAAATCAATGAAATCCTTTCTTTTATATCTATCTGAAGCAAACTGTTTCTTCATTTTATTTAGATGTTGGGTAGTCACATTGCTCACACTGCAACTGCAACTTAGAGATGTTTTAAGTTGCATATAGATGTATATGCAAGTTATATATATGCTAGTTACATACAGATGTACATCTAAAATCTCAGGTTGATTCAGTACAAATGCTTGTTAAGATCTTTCATATAGAAGTCAAATGTTTTTTATTGAAAATGTCATTTAAAAGCAGGTTGACTCTTTGTGTGCAACTTGAAGTACTAACATGAGTAAGAAATTTTAATGAGGGTTGGGGTTTTTTTGTTTGTTTTGTTTTTGCCTGGAGACTACTCTTGTGAGCCTTGAACTCACCTACCACATTCTTGTGGCTAAATGTGTGGGCTACTAACTTGTCTACGCTTTGGCTCTATCCCTGACTCTTTATGACAAATGAAATTACAATTTTACTATATCCATGTGATGCTATAGTGCTTCTTCCAACAAGGTTTAATGGTAATTGGCTTTTCTCTAGAACCAGAGTAACCCCACAACCCTACCCCTTAAGAAGAAGAATGTTTCCTTAGTGTCCTGGTTTCGGCAGGGACAGAGTTAATTTTCTTCCTAGTAGCTGGCACAGTGCTGTGTTTTGGATTTAGGATGAGAACAATGTTGATAACACACCGATGTTTTAGTTGTTGCTAGGTAATGCTTACACTAGTGGAGGACTTTTCAGTTTCCCATGCTCTACCCACTGAGAAGGCTGCAGGTGCACAAGAAGCTGGGAGGGGGCACAGCCAAACTGGCCAAAGGGACATTCCATACCATGTGACGTCATGCTCAGTACATAAACTGGGGGAAGCTGGCCGGGGGGGGGCCGCTGCTCAGGGCCTGGCGGGGG